GGCGTGGAGGGAGGATGGGTGTTTCTTTAATAACAAGATTATGATAAAATACACTACAGTAGTAAACTGGTAAAAAGGGGGTTGGGCCTAAAGTCTCAGCTAAAACGAAGTTGATGTCTCAATGATTTACAGTACTACAAATTTGCTATCAGAAACAATGTTTATAGAATTACTATTTAAAGCCCAATTACCGGCAAATTTTTAGTTAAGAAAAATCTGATTTTTATATATGTTATAAAGATTTATAAGTATCATACAAATTGCTAGTTCAACGGAATTTAGACATTCCTAAATATGAAAAAAATGTAAAATAAGGCTGAAATTTTATTTTTTGTGTTCCACACACACAAAAAATGTGAATGAATTTTTCTATGTTTGATTTTGCGATAGATCTGCAAAGAAATAGTAGACACCCGAAACATATAGCCTATCCAACACTGCTAGGCTAGGCCTAGCCTTACCTCGATTTAGGTTCTGTTATCACACATAAAAGCGGCCCACATGATATTTTCCGTTGCTAGTATTGACACTTGTGAAATCTAATATTTCATTGGAATTATTTCAAATGTGTTAAAAAATTATTTTGACATATACACAAACATATCTCAGGCCTACTCAATTGACCGAAGTTTGCTAGGTACAAAAACTAATTTCATTAGAGAGGGCGCAGTTTATTGACTGTATAAAGTATACATCAAAGCGAGAGCATTCCAGCTGATGCGATCTACAACCTCTGAATTTGCCTAGTAACGAAGAATTCGTTGAGAAAATGGTAATCTCCGATGAGAAATGGTCTGTATTTCTCATTTTTTTTAAATTCTTTTGCGTAAAAACTAAAATTTGTGCCAATATTTTTCCATGGTTTATAATAATTAGAGTAATGCATATGCATTTTTAGTGAAATTCTGCCGGGAATGAGGCTTTAAGCATCCATTAATTAATGACAAAAGTTAGGGTTATTTGATTAGGTATTAGTGATTAGAGTCCCCTCAAGTTACTACAGTATATGGCAATATATTTAAAAATTGTTTCCATAATTTTATACATTAGAAACAATGTAAACAAACATGGGGTTTTTTTTTTTTTCAATATTAACAAATATTCTATAGCATAAATTTGTAATAGCCAAAGTAAATTACTGTATTTTATTAAAATTTTAAATCTTAATAATTCAATATCCTAGTTTATATACGTGTGTGTTGTATTTTTCATGTTGATTTTGTAAATGGTGTGTGCCGCTTTTATGAAATTGAAGGACCAATAATGTTATCAAACTAGAATGTATAAATTATATTTTTGTCAGATTTCATCTGATGAAGTAGAGCATTAATTGATGATTTTCAGATATTGAAAGATATATGATTTGTATGAACAAATTTGTATTGAAGGTAGGCAAACTTATCAGATATTAGCCTGGTTCACGTCAAACTTTAAATCTTAATAATTCAATATCCTAGTTTATATACGTGTGTGTTGTATTTTTCATGTTGATTTTGTAAATGGTGGGTGCCACTTTTATGAAATTGAAGGACCAATAATGTTATCAAACTAGAATGTATAAATTATATTTTTGTCAGATTTTATCTGATGAAGTAGAGCATTAATTGAAAGTATGTTAACTGACCAAAAAGTTTTTTTCTTTATATTCACATTCCTATAAGAAAACTTCAAGTATTCAGCTATAACATAAACTAAAATGCAATCAAAAGCTGTTTTGTAGTATTTTAATATTATATTAGAATCTCACTTTTATTTATCATTAATACTTTTTTTAATGAAAATTTAAAAGATAGGTTTTCATGATTTAATTAGATCTTTAAGGTTTTATCAGATCTTGTTTTTATCAGATATTTCAAAATTTTATTCAAACTTTAAAAAATCGATGAAATTTTAACCTCGTTCATGAAACCAAGACAGCTGTGAAGGCATTCATCGAGGGCGCAATTCACGTCCACTTCACTTCTTTCCAAACGGGCATCCTCATCCACTTGAACACATTGCTCTAGTTCTGGACTGAGTCTGATAACATCAAATGTTTCTCTCCGAACATTTCTTTTGACCGTGTGCAGTGTCTTACCCTTTGCGACAAGCCACTCTTCCAAACGAGCCCTACCAACAAATAATTTGTAAATTATTAATGTATCAATATTTTCTATAAATCTCTGTCCAGACTAACAAGTTTTTGTAACATGTGACATCATAATGCCCATATATGGGTGTGATATGACATCACTATGTCCATATATGTGGCAAAGACAAGCCAAACCAGTCACTCGTCGCAAAAATCGATTTTGAGTTATTAATACAGGGTTAAAGAGTAAAATAAGAGCTATAAAATGGTAAAAAATCATTCAAATCTGACATTTCCTTATGAAGTTACAAGCCTTTAAGCATACAGCTGTTTTAAGAACAATATATGAGAAATCAGCCTTCAAATTTTATGATTTCAAGCATTTCTCATGCAAAAACTATCATAAAATCTTTAAAAAGTGTTGTTTTAACATTGAAATTGGGAAAAATAACAACACAGCATGATGTATAGATGTACATAAACCTCAGTTTAGTGAAATAAAATAGATTTTTAAAAATTTTACATTCTAGCATGTTTTTGCTATTTTCTCTGAAACACAATTTGTGACGAGTGACTGGCTTGGCTTGTCTTTGCCACATATGAACCATCAAGTTTTGTGCATCATGTGATATCATAATGCCCATATAGCCTGATATATGACATAATTATGTCCATATATATGGATGAAATATGACATTAAGAAAATAATAAATATCCTCTGAATTTAATCTAAGAAAATCTAATACATATAAATTACCAAAATTCAGAACTAATAGGTACAAAAATAGCCCACACCACAGCTCATAAATATTATAAATCAAATTATCAGAACCAACAGACCACAATTTTAACAAATTCATCTTTATCAAATTTGCTTAAATTTTGTAATATGGATTAGGTTAATTTTGTTTGTTATTTAATTGTAGTTAACCATGTTGTTCATCTTTTATGTTGCATATGTACTCAGTATATCATTATCAGTCACAATTTAGCTGGAAAGCTACAAAGACGATATTTTTGAATAAAATTTGATTTGATGCACATGATATGAAATCATTATATGTCCATATATGGGCAAATCACACAAATTTGTCATAGAAAATGGTAGTGTAGACAGAGCTTAAAATATTGCCTGGCTGTAGGACATCTAAAGCACGTCTTACAACTTTGGGGGTGGGGTAAGGGAGGTGGACCTCTCACGCTTTCATACTCATGGACCAAGTATTTGTTGCTGCACATTATTTAACATTGCAAAAAAAAACAACACCATAGAACTTTTCTTAAACATGCACTGCTAATCAATACAGTAGAATATGATCATTACACCTTAAAATTGCCAAAAATGACACTCTCGAGATTTAACTTTGAATGTAAATTTCTTTTTTGCTCCATTTCTAAAAAAAAAAAAAATTAGGGCACTAGTACTGAATGTTTGTACTCCAGCAGTACCATGTTTTGCTATGAATTTACCTTCTATTTTTCTCAGTCTTGTTTTCATTTACCAAAGTACTCTGCAAATCTCCACACTTGATGAGATCACCTGAAGACACTCTTATCGCCTCAAGTCCTTCTTCCTCCAAACTCATTTTAACTGAATTCATTTTTGTCATGACATTTTCCTTTAAATTTATCGCTTCCCTTTGAGTTGTATCAACAGGACAAAGGAGTTGACCAGGAGTTAACTTACAAGCTTTTGCTTGACCGTAGTACCCCCGGTATTTGCTTGTTACAATGTCTCTTAGTTTGAAGCTTGTGTCTGGCTGCCAATCCAGGCGACTCACTGCTAGCTTCCTCTTATTACTGTTCCATGGTTCTCATTCTCAACAAGCCAGGCTTCAAGTTTTTCTCTAATAAAGACAAAATATGGCACAAATCAATGTAAAGATTTTTATTATTTTCTTTTTAGTATGGTATCTATCAGTGATAATTCATTCTCCCCTTTACCATGCTATATGTTTAGATATAAAAGTAGATTGTGTTAGTTCATTAAAACACAAAAGTACATGAAAATAAGCTTGTTATTGATTTGTCAGGCACTTTTGTATTCTTTACCATAAAAAAAGACTTACACAACAACAGCGCATATTTTAACACTTTTTTTTATAGTTTTCACAAAGTAACACAATCAATTTTCATTGTCTGTAATGTGAGTGACATACTATTAACAAATTTGAATACAGTATTAGTTAATATTCAAATACAATAGGTATATTGCCTACCTCATGGTTAGATCGGAGCTTGTCTCTTTGCGTTGATGAACATCCTGTTGTTTTGACCGTAGAGCTAGTACAGACCTTTGTCCCTGTGCTGACCTATCCTCCTGTTTTGACCTTTGTTTCCTCCTTGAACTTGGAACACTTCTTGACATTTGACCTTTTTGTTGTGTTTTAAAACTACTCAATTCTTTGCTGCAAGGTAGCTTTTTCTTATCAGTTGGTTGCCTTCTGGTTTGTGATGTCCTGTTTGTCTTCTGCATCCTCCATTGTTCCAATCCTGTCTCTTATACACATCTAGATGTGTATAAGAGACAGAAGGAAGACACTCTTATCGCCTCAAGTCCTTCTTCCTCCAAACTCATTTTAACTGAATTGATTTCTGTCATGACATTTTCCTTTAAATTTATCACTTCCCTTTGAGTTGTATCAGCAGGACAAAGGAGTTGACCAGGAGTTAATTTACAAGCTTTTGCTTGACCGTAGTACCCCCGGTATTTGCTTGTTACAATGTCTCTTAGTTTGAAGCTTGTGTCTGGCTGCCAATCCAGGCGGCTCACTGCTAGCTTCCTCTTATTACTGTCCCATGGTCGAATCTTAATCTGTGCTTTTTCAAATTCCATTTGCTTTTTTTTCTCAACAAGCCAGGCTTCAAGTTTTTCTCTAATAAAGACAAAATATGGCACCAATCAATGTAAAGATTTTTATTATTTTCTTTTTAGTATGGTATCCATCAGTGATAATTCATTTTCCCCTTTACCATGCTATATGTTTAGATATAAAAGTAGATTGTGTTAGTTCATTAAAACACAAAAGTACATGAAAATAAGCTTGTTATTGATTTGAAGGCACTTTTGTATTCTTTACCATAAAAAAAGACTTAAACAACAGCGCATATTTTAACACTTTTTTTTTTAGTTTTCACAAAGTAACACAATCAATTTTCATTGTCTGTAATGTGAGTGACATACTATTAATGTCTAACAAATTTGAATACAGTATTAGTTAATATTCAAATACAATAGGTATATTGCCTACCTCATGGTTAGATCGGAGCTTGTCTCTTTGCATTGATGAACATCCTGTTGTTTTGACCGTGGAGCTAGTACAGACCTTTGTCCCTGTGCTGACCTATCCTCCTGTTTTGACCTTTGTTTCCTCCTTGAACTTGGAACACTTCTTGACATTTGACCTTTTTGTTGTGTTTTAAAACTACTCAATTCTTTGCTGCAAGGTAGCTTTTTCTTATCAGTTGGTTGCCTTCTGGTTTGTGATGTCCTGTTTGTCTTCTGCATCCTCCATTGTTCCAATCTCGCCTCCATAATCTCTACAAATTTTAACCAGCTTCTTAATTTGTTATCATATTTTTTTTTTATTAATGCATTGATTTAATGTAAGGGCATACTTCTCACTTATGCTGTTTCACAATACAGTAGAACCCTTCCTTTGGGACACCCCTATAAGGAGAAGCATTTTTTGACCACAAAATGAAGGTAAAGTACATAAAACACAGCCAAACCCTATTCAGGGGACAGCACCTCTATTGGACATCCTAGTAAGGGGACACTTTTATTTTGGATCTTCTTCTGTAGTACAAACAAAATATTACCATGTATTGTTGATTTATTCAAAAAACAATTTCATAAGTAGTTAATAAAACAATACAATAAATCACTGGCAAACAGTGACTTGAAGTATTAACTCATTTACAACACAGTGAAGAATTCCTAATTTCTTAAAATTATTTAAGATGAAAAGAGAAAGAAAATTCTAATCAAACTTAGGTCATGAGTGCCATTTGCGGCCATCTAGAGGTGCATAACCATGATACTGTAAAGGTTTTTAATTGCGCGGAGGATATCTACAAAATCAGTTAATATTTGCACGGAAATTCGCTGAGAAAATAGGTGTGCTGAATCTTAATTGCTGCACAATTGCATTGGTTATATATTAACATTTGGTCAAAGCCTAATTTTCGGCAAAATATGCGTGGAAATCTGCCCTTATTTTTCAAAATGCACGGACAGACTTCTAGGCAAAATTTTGCGCCGAAGATATATTTATTCCCCACGAGTCTGGTAACCATAAATGTCCTAGCTTCAGCATTAATCTGCACCTTCTTTCCAGGGGGGTTATACTGTATGTTCTGACTATTGCATCA